AATAATGTCATCGTTTTTCATTCTATTGTTTTAAGCATTTCAATGTACGGGGGGAGTAAAATTGATTCGTCTGCATTAGAATTAGGGATGTGCAGTTTCAGTATACTGACTACCGATAAAATCACACTGGCGTTCACCGGTACGCTGATGACACTGACACTGCGCGCACTGTCTGCAGTGACACACTGACACTAAGCGCACTATCCGCAGTGATACACTGACACTGGTCGCACTGTCTGCAGTGAAGCAGTGACACTAAGCTCACTGTCTGCAGTGACATACTAACACTGAGCGCATTGACTTCAGTGTCTGCACCGACATTTGTGTTTACGGGACCAGTGTATACACTGACACTGACTGCACTTGTTGCGCTGACGCATACTGGAACACGGTGTGGGTATGTGTGGGTGTGGGTGGGCGGGGTGTGAGGGTGGGGAAATCTTTCCGTTTCATCGGCTTCAGCACCCACATCCACTCCCACATCCACACCCACACCCGCACCCCGATGTTCTTCTCTTAGACTAGGAGGAACCAAAACATCTGAAACCTTCACAATAAACTATTCTCACTAAGGCCTATCTATATGAAAAGTTTCGGGCAGAAACTCAAAACTCACTTTTCCTGATGTTCCTGAGGGGGACCACGGCTTTTTTCAAAACACATAGTAAAAATGTTGTATCTCAGCAGCAAGAGGCTAGCGGCACGAACTCTTTCCAGAGAACTCATAGGGCCTAGTGTATGCACTGGTTCAGTGAACACCAATATCAGTGCAGATAGTGGAACCAGCGCAGTCAGTGTCAGTGTATGCACTGGTTCAGTGAATATTAATGTCGGTGTAGACATTGCAGTCAGTGCATTCAGTGTCAGTGTGTCACTGCAGACAGTGCGCTTAGTGTCAGTGTGCCACTGCAGTCCGTGCATTCAGTGTCAGTGTGTCACTGTCAGTAATTCACTGTTTTCACCGAAACTGCACATCCCTAATTAGAATGTTTAAAACAATAGAATAGAAAAACGAAGACATTACTTTACTCTTATATATATTCTTCTTCTGTCTATTTATTTGTGTTTGATAATGTTCTTAGTTAGAACGAAACGTCACACTGATTGATCTTAATAAATCAGTTGAAAAAAAATGTTAAATAGCTTAGTTTCATTAATGATTTCATTTTAGAGCTTGTTATTTTACTGAGTTCGTCGTCGATTGAAACTCTTACGCGAAGAAACTTTAATTTTTTAACTCTTATACCATAAAAAGAATATAATGCTGAGTATATATTCCATTTTCAGTATAAATCTTAAGAACAACTAGATGATAAATATACGTGAGTCATAAAGATTACAGTAATCAAAAGAAAAACTTAGCTGCTCTATTAACTTTTGTAGCAATAAATTATTTTTTATCTACGACAGACGACTGTTAAAGAATGAGAAAAAAATAGTCTCAACAATGAATAAATTTTAGAAGTACGTCAATAGTGTTGCTGTTCAATATTTACTTTTGATAAAATATACCAAAAAATTGACGTCGTTTTATCTATGGTATTTTTCCCCTAGAATTTTTCGTTTGTCGTATCAATGCATTAATTCTTCTTAAAAATCTAAGTTTCATTATCACATACATATCTGATACTAATAAACTAATTTAGATTCTTCTTTCATTATTCATCGAGATTATCATAAATCACAACTTTATAACTAATTATATATTTCCTCATAGGTATTAAAATAAACTAGACTTGAGAATTCATAACGAAAACTTGAGAAGATTTCGATAGAATATTTATCAGATGTAAGACAAACGCATCATCCTTGAGCGATCGACAAATTTCTAATTACCTACGAAGAGTATAGAAAAAAAACTTTAAAAAACGATCGATGTGTCAGAAGAAAGAGTGTAGTCAGGTTTTTGTAATATCTAAACGCATTCTAATGAGTAGGTCTCATTTTTTTTTTGAAAAAGCAGAAATTAAATTTTCAACAAGTTAAAATATTTATTTAAAGAAATGAAAGTTCGTGCATCTTTAAAACATAAGGCATGAGTAGAAGTCTTTTGAACAAATATCAAAACAAAAAGAAAAGCTTGTAGAAAAGACTTCTACTCATGTCTTATGTTACATAGATGCCGAACTTTCATTTCTTTAAATAAATATTTTAACTTGTTAAAGATTTAACTTATGCTTTTTCGAAAACAAAATGAGACCTACTCATTGGAATGTATCAAGAAAAAGTACGAACGTGTATTGTCCATCATCAAATTAATAAAATTAGATGAATGGTCAAGTTACAAGTAAGACGAAGATGATTCTTGAATATTAAATCTTTTTTTCAAGTAAAGAATCGTTTACGACAGATGAAATAATAAAAATTTATGGTTTTAACGTCAACGAATCACTATTTATGACATTTACAATTCGAAGTTTAAACAACAAGAGCATAATATTGCTTTATGACATACAAAATCGTTTTTTTGTGATAAACGCGTAATTTGGTCAATATATCATCGTTTAAACGATGTGACATTAAACACCCTTTCAACGGCAGAACAGCGTTTCCTCACCTAACTGGGGGAACAGTCGTTTTTTCATTTTCGACGAAACGGGAATGATGAAAAAAAGAGTGTACCACATTTTTCAACGAAACAGAAAAATCAATTAGTGTTTCGACGAAACGAGAATCTACCATATGAACTCGTAAAATATATTTTTTTTTATAGCTTTCATCAATTAATATCTTTGTACTTTAGTGTTAAGAGAGAATTGTTTAACTTCTCAGTTCAATTTGAAAAGCATACGATAGGCTTGCCGAACGATCGAAAATTTGAAATATACTTCTGTTTGTTCTGTTACAATTTTGGGCCTTTTGACAACTAATGAATTCATAGTATATTAAAATTATATTCTATCGTGTATTCATTTTCGACTCATTGAATACGTTCGGATCTTTTGGTGCTCATTAAAGGTTCGTGTACTAGACGAGAGAAAACCTATCGAGAGTAGATTATGGTTCCTCAAGTACATTGCTACCATTCGAAACCTATGGAAGTTTTACATATTAGAAGACAGCAAATGCATCGTAAGTATACTTGTGTGGGCTCCTTCAATAGAAGAAAACCTAGCACAATAACAGTTTCGATTGCTGAATCCTATTTGGATTATGCTAGACTTCTACAAAAACAACTTTCTTTGAGATATCTTTTATTTTTATTCAATAGTCTTAATAGAATTATTAATGTTCGATAGATATTTCACATTACTTTCATAATTTTTTTAAGAAATATTTGACACCAACCGATGACAACTAATATGGAAATCTGTCAGCATTTTTGATGAACACATAGTCATAAAAGAATTTTTGAGTTTTGAACATTTCAAATAAATTTCTAAACATTAATTTTATTATTGAACACACAAATCAGTTAATTATCAAATGTCATATTTATCAAATAAGCTCTTCAAATGGCATTTGAAATTCAAGTAAAGCTATTCCTTTGACTAGACAAGTGCACAAGTTCCTTTTCGTACATAAAAAAACATGTTATTTTTAATTTTTTTTTTAAATTAGTAGTGAATATTAGAATAATACAATCATCAAAATATTATTTTTTATCGATTGATAAAATGACTTTCATAGAAGAATAATAGTTGATATCTACTTTAGAAGTTCAACGAAGCTGAATCGTAAGTATTTATGCTTGAATCTGTGCCTGCTCTACGAAAATACGATAGGTTTTGATGATCAAGAATGAATCATCTATCCGACCAAACCTTTTTGGTTTTGGACAACTTTCAATATTCTCAGATACAATCGTTGGTATGATCGAAAACTGATCATCAAAATAAGCTAGCACTGAGCTCTCAATATATTTTAAAGTGACCACCCGAGGGTTCCGTATATAATTTTGACACTCATTGAAGCTAAAGTTGATGTACCAAAATGTTTATCGAATGATCAGACAGACTAGAAGTAAACTTTTATTCTTCACTGCAATTCTATAATATGAAAAAAAAAATGAATCTTACGTACGATTCGCCTGTTGGCCACGCGCATATATATAAAAAGTGGTCATAAACTAGCTCTTAGGTTATTAAGGTCAATCTCTTTTGTTTTCAATCACTGTGCTAGCATCAGAGATGATCACTTATTACCTTCCATATTTCTCCTTCTTTTTTATTTTATTAGTGGAAAAGGTTGTAAGTCGATGAAACATATGTCAAGTTACACACCATAAAATGATCAAGAAACTATTCCAACACAAAACGGAATAAATAGTAGTACTTAGATGGAATATGTAGAAAAGTTATGATAATATTGCTATTTCAAATTTTTCATTCTGACTTCAAGCCATGATTGAATTATCACCATCACGTAGGCAGATAAAAATGTAACTCATCTCTTTGATATTTTCACTCACACTATCAGTATTAAACTTATCCTCTTCCACCTACTTTCATCTGTCGACTATTTATTAAAGACGTATCATCGATTGAAACCAAGCATGACAGTTTGAGATTCAACAAACGAAAAATTTCATTGGACTTTTTAGTTTATATATAAGGACAGAAAATTTGTCTCATTAGAATCACAATAATTACTTTTCTATTTTTTTTACAAGGCTCCTTTTTATGAAAAGAAAAATGACTTGTATGTAAGGTTAATCAAATGCAACAGTTATATGAAATATATTGATCTGAAAAGAATTTGCATGAATAGAACAGAAGAATAGATGCCAGTGTTTTTTTGTGATCAACGATAGATTTTGTGTGATCGATATAAGCTTGAAAAAATTTGTTTTCTCTTGCTTATAAATATATTAATGTTCTTCATCGATTTCACAACCTCAATGCATACAGTGATTGACAAAATTCTATAAGCTTAATCTGCTTCATACTAATGGAAGTGAAATAAATGCACTTAAAAATGAGCTACCTAAATATTTGTCGTCTTTTTCAATATCCATCGAAAATTTTTATAGATCCTTTCGTTATGTTATTGGCAATGCAATGAAACAAATTTCTTTTGCATCTTATAAACGAAATACACGTTTAATTGCAAGTTTTGTTATATTAATTATATTGGGTATTATTCGATGGTCTTTTGATGGATCAACAATATTTAATGGGTCTACATCTTATTCCTTATTTTCTTCTTTACCAATTAATACTAATAGAAATCAAATTGTTTTCTATCGTCGACAAACATGTTCATGTACACGACCGATTCTTGAATATAAATCTAATCTTATAGTTATTGATGAAACATCTTCATCTCTTTGCAGTCAATATTCAACATTTCGTGGTTTTCATCAACGTATTATTGCTATTAGTATGTATGGTCCAAAAGAGAATAGACTGTTTAGTTTCAATGCATCATTAAATTTTCTATATGAACTTATCAATGATATGGAAAAAATTTATCCTGATTGGGTTTTAAGAATATATCATGATGCATCAATTAAAGAAAATATTATTTGTCCAATAGAATGTGCTCATAATAATGTTGATTTTTGTAATGCAAGTTCATTGGGTAATTTAGGTAGTGTAAGTAATTATATGCCACCAAAAATTTGGCGTTTTTTACCAGCTGGAGATCTACTTGTTGATGTAATGGGTAGTCGAGATCTTGATTCACCATTATCACAACGTGAATTAGATGCTGTTAATGAATGGTTATCAACAGATAAAGCATGGCATGTTATGCGCGATCATCCATTCCATAGTGTTCCAATGCTTGGTATGAATTTCAATATTTATCTAGTTAGAGTGATAATATAGAAGAAAATAAGTTTTCAATATGACATAATTTACTTAGGAACATACCAAAAGTAGTGCGATTTTGACAGATACAACCCCATAGGAATGATCTCATCAAGTATTTGAGCTAGTAGTCACATTCAATCATGTACAATCCATTTGTTGAAACTATTTTTCAAATAAATTTTGATTAAAAAAATGGATCATCTTGGTTATAGCACCCTATGTACTAATTAGAAACTATTTAATTGATGAAGTTTATCAATTAGATTGAGTCTCTAAAACATACATAATAGTTTATCTGTAGTATAAATAAGATGACGTTTTTAGGATTTCCTCGGAAACTCAATTAAACACTGGCATAGACGATATAGAAGTGATAAAGACATAGGAGGTAGTGGGAATATAGAGTGTGAGTATTGTAGCATTTATTGGTGTGATATTTCCCATAACTTCTATATTTTCTGTGCTAGTACCTAGTAGAGTTTACGGGAATATTCATAGAAGACATGATATGCTAATATAAGGTGGATATAAAATAATTCTGATACGTTCTGACGTAGAATAGTAAAAGCATCTTTACGAATATATAGTTCGATGTTGTCATCATGACTTTCGATGTTTTGAGCACTAGCCAACCATCTATGTCTTACCATTCAGTTAATAAGTAGTTTTAGGAGATTATTGATCTAGTATATACTGGTGATTAGAAGTTTCGATTCTTTTCATAGTTGCTAGCTTCATAAACAGTATTCAGCTAGCTATTTTTAGAGAAAAATGTGAAACACCATTGCTCTGAAGCTAAATTACTGCGCTAAACTATGTAGCTAACGAAGATTGTAAGATTGCAGTTTTTCTAGTTTGAAGAATCTTAGCTGATTTATGTGTGACATATTGAGAATTTGTTACCGACAATCTCTTTATATATTCACTGTAGTTCTTTAGTCAGTCATGCGCAACAAAATTTGATTGATAGAAATAGTTGTTAATCATTGTATTGAGTACAGTAACCGAAACGGTGAATATTAATCAAAGATGTTTGAAAAAAAAGCTTCAACGAATGTCTCCGAACAAATCAATTGTACATAAATAAGCATGATTACTAGCTCAAATACTCCTAAGTATATCTATTTCGAGAAAGAAAATTTGTTGTTTTAAAATGATATAATATTACAATCAAGTTTATACATAACTAGCCGAAGTACTCGACGTTATCTGAGTAAATTCAACATATTCATTTATGAAAAATTTGAAGACAGTAGCCTTATGGTTTCTTATAAGTTACCGATCTTGCATGTCGCAAAATGTGCTTAGAATCCTTTTCATTTTTAAATTTTTTCAAAGATTTTGACATTTCTAAATTTTAAATTTTTGCTCTTCTTAATATTTTGTGACACACGATTGAAAATGCCTGTTGAAGTTCATAGCGAGAAAAGTGAACCCTACCGTGTCCCACAGACCACGATAGAGATTTTCGATATGCAACTCTCAGGAGCGCCAGTAGTGTTCACAAATGAGGGAGGAGGGACGGTTTTTGAGTCCACAACCCATTTTTTCGCTGGAGACTGGTGGTCATCCTAATTTGAAGGGTGGATTAACGAAAACTTTTCCGAAAAACACAGGAAAAGTAGGCATTTTTCGCTTTTGGCGAGTGAAAAATAGAAAAATTTTCTAAATTTAGGGGCAAGATAACCAGTCCCTCCCGATATGTGCGCCGCTGGCATCTCTTGTCTTCCGGATGATGTTCAGCGTGGCGTGAATCTTCCACTACAATGGAAACGACTCCATTGTATTGCATATTTTAATCCTGTAGGGATTATGCTGAAAGATTTTCTCGTTTTGTGGGTTTCTTTAATTTGAGATATATGGTTTGGACCTTCAGAATAGAATAATGAGATAACTAGAGATTTGCGTGGTTCGATAGAGGACAAACTTTTCTGTTGAATAGTAATATTTCAAGCCAAAGTTCAGTCGGAATTTCTTTTGCAATATAGTTTCTAAAATCTTTACCAATGAATTCACCTGATTGATCGGTTTGTTGGTCAATCAGATTTTGTCATACTTTCATGCCCCAGAATCTGTTGGGTCGAATGGTGAAAACCACAGGTCTTTATCTCCTTTCGTTCTCGAGTTATTGAGAAAGCAGTCGCGCGCACAGGCATTTTGGATGGAACACCTACTGTGGTGCTCCAACAATGCTGTTACCAGGTACGCTAGAGATCAAAATTTTAGATCGAAAAGTAGTCCTTGACCTTCCTCTGGAGGAAAGACTATTCCATGCAAAGTTTGGTTGCACTGGCTTCTACAGGATCCAAGTGCATAAAGAACAAATAAACATTCTTCTTTATATATTAGATGAAGACACATGTTGATTAAGTCACTTTTTTATAATAGTAATTCTTTTAAATTCAGTTGTATTATTTTTAGGTGGTCTATGGGGTTTTCGTCCAGTGCTTAATCGAACAATGGCTAATATATTTCTAAATAAAATACTAAATTCTACATTAGTTAGACGATATGGTGGTCGAGGTGATCAAACATTTTTAGCAGATCATGTATGGCCTCATATTCAACATCATCTTATTGCACATGATAGTCATTTATGTACGACATGGTATGGAAAAAATTCTCAGCCATGGCCATCACGTCGACCATCGTTGAATGAAACTGATTGTTTTGTTGGATGTATACGTCCGTGTTGTCGAAAATTAAAACATCCATTTCGTCAATGTCCCACAGCTTGTCGACCAAAAAACCATACAGATTGGACAATGTGTTAGAGAATATTTACTTTTTTCTTTGGTTCACATAACTATGAAGAAGATATTTATTGATTTTTATTATAAGTTTTTTTGAAATAATTATTATTCTTTTTCAAATGATAGTTTCGTCATATGTTTGTGTCTTCTAATATTTAAATCTAAATAGAAGTAATTTATGAATAAAAAAGACAAAAATATTTGTCGTATAATTATAAAGTTATAAAGATTTGTAATTGTTAAAATATTTTCAAAATAAACATATGAATAGATATAGTCGAATGGGTTTATGCATGATTAATAATACGTCAATAAAACGTATACATATCATAGGTTCGAACCTATCGTTCGGCATTGTCTCCTCAACGCCACAGGCAGGATAGACATTAGTTCACCTGGCCTCTCCAGTTTGGGGAGAAGAAAAAATTCAGAATGATAGGAAGCTGGAGAGATTTTCTCTGTCTCATCTAGTGCCGTTAATTCATACTACATTTATATTTTTCAGAAATTTTCTTTTTCTATTATATCATAGTTGCATTTAATCGAATCTATTGAATAGATTTTATTTTTATTTTAAAAATAAAATAATTTTTTTTTTCTTTTATTTACTTGAAAGTAAAGCAAAATAGATTGCCATCATTATATTTACTACATCGATACATATTATAATGACATATTTCAACATGAATAGAGGACAAAAAAATGTCATCATGTTATTATCTTCCCAATATTTTCGGATGAAAGAAAAACAATATATCAAATCTGTATGACATGAAAAGGAAAAAAAATAAAATTTTATGCTGTCTATTGAGTTTTATTTTTTTCTGACTCATGAATTAAGGAAGAGGTTGGTTGTGCACTTGCCGTTTCATTTTATATTTTTTCCTTTCGTGTTCTTGTTGTTTCATGTCCTCTGACACATATATTTATCGCTGTTGTTCTTTGCTTTTTGTTTTCTTCTTTTGTAACGCTATATGAGTCAAGAGATTGACACATATTCTATCAACAACGTATGTTTGAATTTTTCGTTGATTGGGCAATACTCATGCTGATTTTTGATCATATATAAATCGTTTTACATTTATTGATAAATAAGAAAAAAAACCACATATGCGAAATTCGAAAAATACATTCGAAAATTTATCTCGAGAAATTTTGCTTGAAATATTTGATTATCTTTCAATACATGATTGTTTTAATGCATTTTATAATCTTAATTGGAAAATAAGTTCAACATTAAATTTATCTGGTTTTTCAATTGATTTAACATCAATATCACAACAGACATATAATGAATTTTATAAAAATATAATTTTTTCAAATTATTATTGTCAAATACGAAAATTAAAATTAAGTAATGATTTAACAATAAATTTACTTGAAAATTTTTTTAAGGATTTTATTATTGATGATTTTAAACAACTTCGATCAATAACACTAATTAAACCATCATATATGACATTAGGTAGTTTTGCTTTAAGAATACCTCATCTTAAACAACTTGAACATATCTCCATTAATTCGTATTCATATCCAGATAATTTTTTTGAATTAATTACAACAACATCATCATCGATTAAATCATGTTATTTACCTGAATTAGAAATTCAAGATGAATTATCATTTCAATCAAAAATTGAATATCTTACAGTAACAATTGAAGATATAACATTACTTCTTAATTTATTAGCTGTATTTCCTCAATTAAAATATCTTAATGCTTCATTACGATCAACATTAGATATAGATGAAAATAATATACCCATGATAAATATTATTTCATGTAAAAATCTTCAAACATTGAAACTTAATATATTAGAAAGATCAAGTATTGATTTTCATGAAATCGAATATTTTTTTCAACAAACATCATTTGATTATCTGAAATCATTTTCATATAATTGTACAACAAATTCTTTAAATCATATTGATGTTATACGTTGGAATAAAATTCTATTAACTTATTTATCTGAAATAGAAAAATTTCAGTTTTTTCTTCAAATTCCATGTAATTCATGTTCATTCATGGATATCAAACAAATATTTAATAATATGCAAACAAATCTTTGTTATTCATGTTCATTTTCTTTATCTATTAATCATTTATATTATATGGCTCATACGAATATTTATCCTAAAACTCATTTTGATTTATCATTTAAATTATTTGAATCAGATGCATGCTTGAATTATGATCCAATAAATTGTGATACAACAATACAATTTTCAAAAGTTAATTCATTGATATTAGATAGTCATTCAATGTCATCATGCACAATATTACCGAAAAATTTAAAATATTTACAAATTCAAGGTCAACAGAATAATTTAAATCTTGATCAATGTCTTAAACAATGTTCAAATCAACTGATATCATTAAAAATCTTTGGATTACCAGATGATTTACCTCGTATGCCTAAACTTCGACAATTAACTATTCAAAAAGTTATGTTTAATTTAAATATGATATCAAAATTATCATTTTTATGTCCTCATCTTGAATTACTTACGATTGAAATTGATTGTATTCAACAATTTGGACAAATATTAGATCAACTTCGATATAAATCTAAGCTGAGTGAACTCAAATTTATACGTGCCTTTTCAAGAGATCCCAATCAAACATGGACATCGTGGCTTAATGAAACAGAACAATTAGTTACTAGTAATATAATCTATGAAGCAAAAAATTTATTTTTATTTATTTGGTTATAAGAAGAAAAAAACAAAAAAAAAATTAGAAAATACTTTACAGAAAAGAAAACAAATAATATTTAAATCCATTGTGGATTTTCATCAATCGGATTTAAAGGATTAAAGTGTGGAAGAATAGATCGTTTTGTTAAATGTTGTTGTCGATGAGAAAATTTATTATTATTATTATTATTTTTATTATTATAAAGAAGACGTTTAAGTGGTATAGTATTTTTTAATTGACGTTTATTACGACGTGGTGTTGATGTCAGATTAGGTTGAAGTAGTATATTTTGATTAGGAGAATTTTTTGGTGTACTTGTTACACATGATGATGTCACAAAAAGATTTTTTTTTGGTGATAATATTAATTTTTTTTTTCTTTTATGAATTTTTCTATATTCATGATATGTTGTTGAATGTAAAGTAGTTTGTTTACGAAATAAATATGGAGATTGATTATTTAATAAACATTTTTCATTTGTTATTATTGTTGATGATGAATTTAATGTTATATTAAATGGTTGAAAATTTTCTAAATAATTATTATTTGGTTCAATCATACGTAATTCTGATACTAATTGATTAATATGATATTTTATTTCTCGTATTCGTTCATGTTTATTCGACATAGTTGATGATAGAAATAATATTTTATCACTCATCTAAAAAGAAAAAGAAAGAAATGAATCTGACTCCTACAACATATATCCATTAGATTACGTATCAATAGTTTTCAATGACATGAATGTCTGTTATTATGATTACAACAAAAAAGAAAGATGAATCTAACTTGAGACTGTAAAAAAAAGAAGAAGAAGAAGAAGACAGAATGAAATAGCTCAGCATGATTCTATCTTCAAACGAATCGGTTAAAATGCACATCCCATGGTGCCTGCTGCTGCTGCTGCCGATGATGTACTGTACTTGTCATTGACAGTGTTGACAACTAAGTTAGCCCATCAACACATAACATACATGTGCGGATCCCATACCGAGAACAAGCATGATTGATTATAATGAACTAATTTTGTCAGTTAATTATTGTTATCATCAACTTACTTGTTTCTAATATCTATTTGAACAAAAATGAAATATAGAAGAAAAAAAAAAACATTTCTATTGATTGGTTCAATTTTCTCTTTTTTTTCCAAATACCGGAAAATTTATTCATTGGACAATCATCCGAAACAAATCTTCTATGATCATCATTGAAGCATGTAAATGTAGCAACAGCAGTAGCAACGTCATTTCACACATTATCCTATCCTCATTAATAAGGGTTAGTGAGCGTTGCCGAGAGTTTGTTTGATCAATATACAATTCAATTCAATCTCATAGGCTCAGTAAACATTTAAAAAAAAATGATCAAACACATAGTAAAAAAATAAATTAAAGAAACACAATTTAATCATTTGAATCAATAAAATCTATCATTCTAATAGAATCTTATTCAATAAGAACGACTATTAAATAGAATTTTTTTCTTTTTTTTTTTTTATAACACTTTTCGTCTTGTTTTTATTGTTGTTACTCTAACGTTCTTCACATTGTCGAAACAGATGTGCTTTTCACAAGCACTCTCCTATTTTATGTCATTCTCCACCTATTTCCTTCACTTGAATGATCATGGTGTGATTGATATATTCATGTTACAGGTATGTTGACAATATGGCACGAGCACTCACTCGTATAATAATGATAATGAATATGTTCGATCGATCGTTAAAAAACAATTGTATTATTATTGTTCTGATGTAATATTCTTTAAGCATCTGTTTCATACATATATATATATTTATCATTACGTCAAGTCTAAACACTATATCGACAAAAAAAAATACGAAACGGAAGAAGAAATCATTTTGACGTCTGTATCATGATTAAGAATCGAATCAAGCTATGTAATTAAAGCAGCAATATGATTCACTATTTGATTTCTCTTCAAACAAAAGAGTAACATACACTGGTCAATATAACCCAGTACTGTTATGAATAGAGACGCCTAAAGGCAAATCTTTTTGGGTCTTCCATGTCTACAACATATGCAACAAGAAAAATAAAAATAGGAAAAATTTATATGTATATCAACAAAGAAATAATATTTATTCCGTTACTGAAGTAATGCTCTTCAAAAAAAAAAAGAAAAACTAATTTTTTATTTCTTAATACTCAACATATAACGTCATACTTTCATGTCGACGCAGTAGTGGGTGTTTTTTTTGTGCTGTTGATGTCAATAATGAAGTGGGGGGAGAGAAAAGTAAAGAACAGAATAGAAGAAAAATGTAAATTTTTTTTTGTCTATAAAATCTTCATTACTATAGTCCATTTCTAGTCATAATTCCGAAAATTAACTTGTATTATAAAAGCAATTCAAATGAGTAACCTTCAACGTCGTATTAAAAATATGTATAAACTTCCTAAACTTGATATGACAGAAGATCAAACAAAATCTCATTTTGAAGATCCACGATCACCATCAGCTAATATTTCAAGGTATAAATAAATAAATATTATCAATGTAATTAATATATTTGTTTTGTTTTTGTTTGCTAGAACTCCTGTGGAGTTAAATACTTATAATTTACCAACTATGCCACCAAAAAATACTGTTCCAGTTAATTCTACTAGATGATAAATAATTGAACTTTATTTTGTTTTTTTTTTTTGTTGTATAATAAAAATAAAATTTTCAATAATAGAAATCTTGTTTTTGCAAGATGAAATGATGACCTAAATTTTGTATTTTATGATAATGTTCATGTTAGAAAAAAAGACATTGAATACGAATAGAAGTTAATGAAGTATAAAATAATCAAATAGACAGGAAATGATGCTTTTTATTATGATAACTAGAATGACAAAGAAGCGAGTAGAGCTTGCATACTGTTTTGACAGTATTATGATAATCAAATGACAGTTTAATTAAAGAAAAATCGATACACAAGAGATTGATGTTCTATTTTTTATTCATCATTTTACTAATTTCATCTACATTAATCGAATTCGTTACTTTTATGTTTATTTTTATTTTTTGATGATAAGTATATAACGAAAATATTTATTATTACGTATAAATTTAAATATTTCAAAGAAATATGAGACTGATTGAGTTTTCTTCTACTAGTGGCACTCAAAATAAGTTACTGCCCGCCTTCAAGGATCAAAAAGAAAAAAAAAAAAACGAATGCATCTTGTACTTGACTAATCGACTTTTTTCATCACTTTAGTTTTCTTCTCATCATCTATCAAGGCAAACGACTAATGATATATTGTTTTAACTTTCTATCTACGCCGCTCATGTTTTGAATATACAAGCCACTTCTGTCACGTAGTACTCAAGGATTTCATTTTTTTTTTGTTTTTGGAGATGACGACAAAAAGTGACTTTACATAAGTGTTTTTATGTGTAATAATACAGATGGTTGGTAATCAGTAAGACAAAAATCAATAGTACTAGAAATTTTTTTTTTTTAATGATAATACAGAAACTTCAGTTTTACTTAAGATAAAAACAAACTTTTATCAACACAATAATGGTTAAATGATGTTTCTTGTAATCACATATTATAATAGTATCGAAATAGTGACTTTCATTCATAGAATGCATATTGATGAAAGTGATTAGACTCAATAGAGATAAATAGGATGAGATAAAGTATGTAAAAAAAAATGGTATTATTAAGTAATTGAATGGCAAAGTGGTATATTGAATATTAAAAATAACACATACAACTGATATATTTATATGGAATGTAGAATGGCATTATGATAAAAATAAAGTAGTTTTTCTTTGGAATTTTACCATCAAAGATAATCACATAAATATTAATAAGAAATTTTTTTAAAACAATATTAGAATGTTGTGATTGCTTCTAGATCTAGGCGCATAAAAAAAGTAGACTTCATAGCTTCCTAATCAACCTTTAATTTAAGATATTGATACAAAAGACATGAGCACAGTAGAAGAGTAGAACGACTGCTTCCATAAATATCAATGATAATACTACCGCTACTAATGTGATTATGAATCACGACAACGTTTTTTGGGAAGTTATTACAAACTATATGAACTTGTACTAGATCTCCGTGTTCGCAAATATCAAACTCAGAAATTAAATGAATCTTCTGAATTAGTAACAACAGTAATTGTCTAAACCAACGATGTCAATTCATCTTGATATGTTTTTTTTTTTCAAAAAGTATTTTTTTAAACATCATCTTGACATGACAACAACGCTGTTCACAAGTGCAATTGACATTTGTTCTACTTCAATCGGATTACACTGAATTGAAATTATTGTATTTAAAATTTAATTTTAATGATCTAAATATACATAAAAATCTTATTGTTGAACAGTTAAATAGTTATAAATCAACAGTAATGAATTAAGCTCTATATAGGTGAAATATTCAAATATTATATCAAATATAAATTGCTATCATGATTAACGAAATATATATTTTCATAATGTATATATTCTACTTCCATCTGTATTGTTAAAAATTTATTTGATTAAAATTTTATCCAATCAAATTTTTTTATTTCGACACTAACAAGTATTACTTCACCTATAAATATGCGATGAAACATACGGAAATATTCTTGCATGTATTTAAATTCTAATAATGTCTTCTTTAAATGATATGGAATTATTTGATGATATAGTTGAAGATGGTGGAATTGAACCACAAGCATTATCAGATGATGATTTACGAAGTGAAGACGATAATGATGACGATGATGATGATGATGATGAATTTGATAAAACAGATATTACACATGTAAGATTTCATGATTATTATTATTTTATATTAATAAATAAATCATTTTAGGATTCAATTAATATTAAAAAACCATTAGCTGGAATGTTACCAAATACATATGAAGGAAAAACAGCTGAAGAACTTTTTCCAGCATTTAGACCCAATGCTGTTAGTTAATACAATATGAAATTTCAATAGAATAATTAATTTTCTGGTTTTTTGTTTTATTTAGATTCTTCAATTTAATAAAATATTTGGTATTGGTAAATCAAATCATTTACCAAAACTTTGGACAAATTTACGTCAACGATCTGTAAATGAGGTAAATTTAAAAATAAAAGCTTTCTTTTTGTTTTTCAAGAATTATTTCTTTTATCTTAGAATGTAGACCGTCAAATTCGTGAAGCAACAATAACTGAATGTGCAGCTGATAATGAAGTATATATATATATACATATGAAATGAAATATTTTTCTTTGAAATAAATTTTTATTTTTTTAGACACAATTTTTGGGTCGTTTACCGCCAATAGTAAATGAACCAATATCAGATGGACAAGATTCTTCTTTAAATGATATGAAAATAGCTAATTGGCGTGTTGGTCCTGCTCGATTATGGTATGATCAAATTGGTTTAAGTCTTGATTTATCAACATATGATTATGGTTTTAAATCAAAACAATCACAAATATTACAAACACAAATATCAAAAGAACAAACAACAAATGATCATGAATTAATAGGACATGCATCATTACCTGTTAATTTAATACGTTGGGAAGATGATATTATATATGATACATCAATATTACGTGATAAACTTGATTTAAATACACCTAAAATTCGATATTGTGGTTGGGTACCAACAACAAATTATCGTTCATTAGCAAGTTTTC